ACACAGCCGCCAGTAAAAATAACCCTTGAAGCTTGTCAGATTCGCACAGGCAGATGACAGGAGACGCACACATATTGCATGTGCGAGATTTAGAGAATGTTAAAGCCTTAAACGGCTGACCCACAAAGGCACTGGAAACCAAACTCGCTTCAGTATCTCATGCAGATCTGTGCTTCTGCTTGCAAATGGAGCTGAATGGCAGTTTCCACCCTTAACAGGCAGACTGGGACTGATAGTTTGCCGAACATTTGTTGAACAAATTTGTTCTTGATTGAACAAGCAGGAGCACACACACACACACACACGTATACACACACCCTGACCGGGCAAGGGTGTAATTACAGTGAGTTGTTGCAGTAATCTTGCTTTAACGCTCACACTGATGCATGGAATCCATTATGAGAGACAAACTAAAGACTAGAAATCAGGGAGAAGCCAAAACACTTCCCTATATAAATGCCAGTTTTCCAGGTTTGAGCAGTCATAAAGCTCATTATTTTCCTGCAACAAGTACAATAAGCCATATCAGAGTCTGCTCACATGCACAAACATCACTAACAAAGTACCTTCATATAATAGCATGGTATATGAGCATGGTAATCATACAGTACTGTGGTAAATGTTAGATGGCTTGAAAAATAAATATTGGTACCATCATTTTACAGTTGTAATGTAAAATAAAATTATTACATTATTTTTCTTAAATACTTTTAAAATATATATTTTAGTGAAATATTACACAGGTCATTTTCTTTTATTTTGTAATTTTTATATATTTTTTATATTTTATGTAATAATAAATGTTATTAATTATTTACTAACTATTTACTATTTATTATGAATAATTTAGTTTTTAGATTTGATATGTTTACTTAATAATAGTAATTATTATTAATGATTTAATAATTATTATTAATAATATTTCATAATCATATTGATAGAATCATACCATTTCGGCCAAATTGTTCAGTAAACAATTACACAGCACACAGCAAACATTGATTTATTTTATTTTATTTTATTTTAAAATCACATTTTAAATTGCAATAACAATTTTTTATCTGAAAAATTGCCTTTAGCCCATAACTTTATTATGGTACTGCCACATTTTTTAAGGATTTACCTGAAGGCTCCTTTTTAAAACCTAGTGAGTTACCTTGCTGTCTGCTATGCATCCTACATAAAATGGAATGCTATTAGTGTCTGTTTTGGAATGCTCTAAATAGGCAGCATTTAAATTATGACTTTTTTATCATTACTTCTCAATACTGAAATTAATATAAATTAAATTCAACTTCAGTTGAGGATAAATGAAATGTAAATATATTTACATTGCTTACAATTACATATATTACATTACATTACATTTAGACATTTAGCAGACGCTTTTATCCAAAGCGACTTACAAATGTGGACAATGGAAGCAATCAAAATAAACAAAAGAGCAACGATACGCAAGTGCTATAACAAGTCTCATTTAGCTTAATGCAGTACACGTAGCAAGGTCGTTTTTTTTTATCATATAATAAATAAAAAGAAAACAGATAGAATAGAAAAATAATAGAACAAGCTAGTGTTTGAGGCTTTTTTTGCTTTTGTTAATCAGAAGAAGTCATAAATCAGAAAGTCAGAATTATAATTGTATAATAAATAAAAAGAAAACGAATAGATAGAATGCAAAAAGATTAGAGAAGCAAGTGTTTTTTTAAAGAAAACAAGCAGTTAGCAAATAAAAAGAGTGCAAGTCTAAAAGGGGCAAGTTTTTTAAAATTTTTATAAAGAATAGAATTAGAATAGAGAACGGGATGGCACAATAAAGCGACGTTCACTTGCAGAACGCAAGCTTCTAGAGGCACATAAGTTATAATTGTATAATAAATAAAAAGAAAACGAATAGATAGAATGCAAAAAGATTAGAGAAGCAAGTGTTTTTTTAAAGAAAACAAGCAGTTAGCAAATAAAAAGAGTGCAAGTCTAAAAGGGGCAAGTTTTTAAATTTTTTTATAAAGAATAGAATTAGAATAGAGAGGGCTATAGTTAGAGGGTCAAATAAATATGGAAGAGATTTTTTTGTTTTTAGCCGATTCTTGAAGATGATTAAGGAATTGAGTTGGGCAGGTCATTCCACCAGGAGGGAACAGTTAATGAAAAAGTCCTTGAAAGTGATTCTGTGCCTCTTTGGGATGGTTCACTTGCAGAATGCACGCTTCAAGAGGGCACACAAATCTGAAGTAATGAATTTAGGAAAAGGGGTGCAGAGCAAGTGGTGGTTTTGTAGGCAAACATTAATGCCTTGAATGTTATGCGAGCAGCTATTGGTAGCCAGTGCAAACTGATAAACAGAGGTGTGATGTGCATTCTTTTCGACTCGTTAAATTATTAATCTTGCTGCCGCGCTCTGGATTAATTGTAAAGGTCTGATAGAACTGGCTGGAAGACCTGCCAAGAGAGCATTGCAATAGTTCAGCCTGGACAGAACAAGAGCTTGAACAAGGAGTTGTGAAGCATGTTCTGAAAGAAAGGGCCTGATCTTCTTGATGTTGAATAAAGCAAATCTGCAGGACCGGACAGTTTTAGCAATGTGGTCTGAGAAAGTCAGCTGATCATCAATCATAACTCTAAGGTTTATTTCTAAAGTTATGATTTATATGATTGACAATAACTATGGAACACACACTATTTATTCACTCATACACTTATTTATCTAACACGCATACTCAGCCTACACCTCAAATTTGCACATAATATACAGTACCTGTACATAAAAAAAAACTGTCTATTGTAATATACCTGCACACACAATTGTCAATTTATATATTTTTATTCCTTATTTACTTGTTCTATTTTTATTTTTATTATCTGTGTTTTTTGTTCTGTCAATGTCATTCTGTTACACTGTGGAAGCTTCTGTCACGAAAACAAATTCCTCGTATGTGTAAACATACCTGGCAATAAAGCTCCTTCTGATTCTGATTCTGATTCTGATTCTGATTCTGATTCTGATTCTGATTCTGATTCTGATTCTGATTCTGATTCTGATTCTGATTCTGATTCTGATTCTGATTCTGATTCTGATTCTGATTCTGATTCTGATTCTGATTCTGATTCTGATTCTGATTCTGATTCTGATTCTGATTCTGATTCTGATTGATGTGCCTAACTGGATGGTGAAATTGTGATGAACCGATGGGTTTGATGGAAACACAAACAGTTCTGTCTTGGCAAGGTTGAGTTGAAGGTGATGGTCCTCTATCCAGCAAGAAATGTCTGTTAGACAAGCTGAGATGCGAGCAGCTATCGTCGGATCATCAGGATGGAATGAGAGGTAGAGTTGAGTGTCATCAGCATAGCAGTTATATGAAAAGCCATGTTTCTGAATAACAGAACCTAGTGATGCCATGTAGACAGAGAAGAGAAGTGGTCCAAGAACTGAGCCCTGAGGCACCCCAGTAGTTAGATGTTGTGACTTGGACACCTCACCTCTCCAAGATATCTTGAAGGACCTATCTGAGAGATAAGACTCAAACCACTGGAGTGTGGTTCCTGAGATGCCCTTTGCCAATAGGGTTGGCAGGAAGATCTGGTGGTTAACCGTGTCAAAAGCAGCGGACAGATCCAGCCAGATAAGTATTGAAGATTTGGAATATATTATATGCAATATATATATATATATATATGCCTATATAAATGTAAAACAATACTCATTAGTTCCTTCATCTTAGTTTCCAACCCTCAATGCATTCTGGGATTGCCAAAGGATACATGCAATGTTGGCTTAAAAATTGCTCAAAGAATGTATCTTTTGGAACAGACTTCAAGTCTGGAAGGTTTTTATAATGCAGCCCACGTATGCAGCTCGCTAGGTTTTGGAAAAGAGCCCTAGACTTCTGATGACCTCCCATATTCTTCAATTGTTCTTACATCAAATAATTTATAATTACCACATCCTAATCTACATTTTGGATTTCATACATTATGTGGTCGATGTATGAATCTTCTTAAAAACCCTGACAAATCAGTTGTAAGACATTTGTGAGGATATCTTCAGAAATGTATCACATGAGGAAGTTCTATTTAAGTACATAAGACTTTGAGTCCAATTACATAAATGCTTGTTTTCCCAAAACTTTCCAAAACAATGGTGCAGTGTTTTTCATTTTAGCAGGTTCATGCTCAGTTTCATAATTGCTTGTTGACTAACTATAAACATTCTTTAATATAGCCTATTATAAAAATAATAATATGAATACTTACACTACACATCGTCCTTTATGGCATTCAGTGTGACACTACACCCCGCCAGACATTAACTTCTAAAAAGCTATTGTTCTTTTTTATGTTCAATATCTATCCAGACTTTATATGAGAGAATTTGACTATCAAAGATGTGACAACTTGCCCCGGTATCTCCTCTAGCATAACATGCACGCAAACACAGATGTTCACTACAATAACGGAGACAATTAGAGCAGCTGGTGAGGTCGTAGGTTCAAACCCCAAAAGCCTCGATGAACTATCCACTATTGTTCCTGAACCGCTTCATGAATCATGAACTACAACCATGTGCCTTTGATCAAGACAGTTAACCTCGGGTCATTCTAGCAGGACTCAATCTGTAAAAAGTGACCTGAAGATACTGAATACGACTGGAGCGACTAATTAGTAAATGAGCAGCCTACAGTGCGCTTCGAGTCCGTGCGCTCCGGTAACGGGTCACCGGTCACCAGTGCGCGCGGCGCGGCTCCATCTGTCAGAGATTCAGCCGAAGCGAAAGCAAAAGATGTATTTCCCAAATGTATCCACATGAAACGCGTCCAACCTGCACACATCAGCGAGCATCTGTCCTTTTCCACAGCACATGTGTAGTATGGACGCACCATAAGTGCCTGTAGATATCCAGTGCATGTTTCCGCTTTAATAAGTTTGATTTTGCTCATGCTATATAGATGCATGTAGCCTATTACATGCAACCTGCCGCTTATAAAAACACCAGATCTTACCTAAAGGAGGCTGATTTTAAATGACAGCTGGAGAGTCTTGTGTCTTGTGTTGGTGAAGGTCTGACAGAGAGACACGCGCACATTGAGGAGCGAGTACTGCTCTCTCTCTCTCTCTCGCTCGCGCTCTCTCACGCATCACTATACAGCGATGAGACCTGCGCGCGCACACTTCAAATAAAATTCATATTTTTTTTCATAAATTTCTGAAAGGATATAGGCATTTCCGGAACCCAGGACGTAACAGTTAAAATATATAGAGATATCACAAACATTAGGTGAGGGATATTGTCGACTGTATTTAAAATGTATTAAGTGTAGCCTACGTTTATATACAGTAGCTATGTTCGGTCGTTCATAATCGCTAAACAGTGTTGGGGAGTAACTAGTTACATGTAACGGAATTACTTAATTTAATTACAAAAATGTAACTGTAATCTGTTACAGTTACTGAAAAAAAAATGTGTAATTAGATTACAGCTAGGCTACCTATGAAAATGTTAACGATTACAAAGGGTAATATTTTCACACATACAAATTTGATTGATTTCGTTACAAAATTGCAATGACTGCTCTACAATATGACACACCAATGTTTCAGGAGTTTAGGACACAGAATAGGACACATGCTTTTGGTTTTATTTCCTATTTGGGGTTATGTATAGGCCTATTCTTTATTTATTTTTTTAATTAGGCTAATTGTTTTTTTTTTCCTAAGGCATTGTTAGATGCCAGTGTTAGCCTACCTGTCGTAGCTATGCAAAGATTTAATTTCAAAAACAGTATTGTAACTATTCAACTGGCCTGTTATGTTTTTAAACCTGTAGGCTACTTAACCTCAGAATGAAAATAGGTGCTAAAGTCAGATTTTGGTGGCTGTGCTTTCAAAATAATGTTTTATAATCTTAATTCAAGGGATGAAAGATTTTGAAAGTCTGACAGTAATCAGTGTTGAGTAGCCTACTACTGTTAAGGTTAACCCTGCCTGATTTAAATGTTTGAAAAAGATTTACAGTTTAGAAAAAAAAAATAGATAGCTATCTTTAGCCTAAATTGAGAAAAGTAATCAAAAAGTAGTCACATGTTATCGGTTACATTACTTTAATAAAGTAGTTGAAATAGTTACACTACTTGTTACATTTTAAATAGGGTAACTTGTAATCTGTAACCCATTACATTTCCAAAGTAACCTTCCCAACACTGTCGCTAAATAAATAAATACGTCTACAATATTGGCCACCTGACCTGACCGTACATTATTCTGCTTGTACGCCTATATAAAATATAGATTTAGCCTATATTTTATATCATTATTAATTTTTGATTATAACTGAATTTCTCTACGTTAAGTTCTTTTTATCCAGCCCTCCGTACATCTTCGTTGTTGTTGTCTTTCTCCCAAGCGTACAAATCAAAATGTATGTTAAGTGTCAAAATGTAATAGCTACTTAAGTCCACATGCCATTTATTCTAGTCAGGGGATAACCGTTAGATGGCGCCAATTAACTATTCAAATTTCTGACGTATTCCAAGTTCAAGCGTTTGAATGGAGAGAGCGCATGGAGTCGCACGCGACTGAGAGATCGGTTTCCCGGATGGATGAACGTCGATTGTTTCGATTTTTGATCGTATTGCCATACGTCAAAATATTCTAGCTTTTATTCTGTTGGTTACAGTAAAATGTTCTGATAACAGCTCTGTCTTCCAACTGAGGCAAGAATCAGTGTTGCCGACTAATTTTCAGGGGAAGTTGCTAAAGGAAGTTCGATTTGTTGCTAAATGACAAAATTGTGTCACTACATTAAAAATATATATTTTTATGTTAATTTAGATTTGTTCGTAAAATAATATAAATGCATAATATAATGTTCAAATATAAATCACTTTTTTATATATACAACATTATTGAACACTTACACATTTTTATAGTTTTAAGCTAAGCAGTGTATTAGTAGTCAGTATGCTACACTCTAAGAAAAGAATTCACAGGTTTTTACCTGCATTTTAAATTTTACGCATTGTATTTTGTGTTTCGGGTTACAACGGATGATGGATAACGGATAATGTCCTGGAAAATTACTAGTACCTTTTCCATTTTTCTAGATATTTTTCTTTCAGTGTACTAACTGATCAACAATCACATGTACAAGCTACTAATGAGGTGTATCATAAATGAACAATTATTCAATTATTATTATTATTA